AAAGAATATGGGTAAAACATATGTCACTGGGTCATATAGATCCATTTACTGCTTAGTTATCACATAAAACGTGGATTTCAGGTGCGATCTAATAGAATGAAGAAAGTCGAATTGTACATCGCTTTAAACTACATGACAACAATAAAACAAAATTGGATTCTCTCATCTCATATATATTAGCTCCATTTCGATAAAGAACGTGGTCAGTGAAAAATCATTCTCATTGTGTTGTCTCCTCTTATTTACTGATTAAGAAATTCAGTAGGTCTGCTGTCAACTCACGTAACAGATCAGGCGGACATGCTTTAAAGAAACAAAAAATAAACCACCACATACTTTAACAAAGACATGTCACATACCTTTCCAGAACAGCGTAGAACAAAACTCTAACACGATTCAAAAGGTATGATATTTCACTCTAAAGTCTGCATATTTGTACTAAAAGTATCATTGACGGGTCAAAATTAGCCTGTCTAAACAACTTTGGCCTAGGCAGAAGGTTTCTTGTAACAAAATCGTATGAAATAACATTGAACACAAATCAAACATAACAAAATCGTATGAAATAACATTGAACACAAATAAAACATAACTTCAAAATCAATGAAACCGACAAATATCTACAAATCCTTCACCAACAAAGCTTAAAACCACCAATGCCGATTGAGTAATCGTAACTAATTTACTCCAGCTCAAACATATAATCAAGTACAAAACCAGAAAACATTGAATCAATCAACCATCAAACTGCAGAAAATCCTCACCTGGCCGACGAAGCCCTCTGTTCATGAAAATCGAAGGTGTGCACATGCCCGTTTGGCGCCACAGCACGAGCAAGGGAGGTCGTCAGAGACCCACTTCCGGTACCGGACTCGAGCACCACACATCCCGGGACAATTTCCAAATACATAACAACGAAGCTAATATCCGCAATGTACAAAATCTGAGTCCTGTGGCTCAAAACCAGAGTCCATAGCTCGGGAGTCGGAGCCAACAAGTAAACAAACCCACCTTTGTTGCTGAACACCTTCGAGCCAAACTGTTTCCCGACCCAATCACGATGCTTGAACACACCAAACCGATTTTGGAAAACCCCATCACCGGAAACTTTGACCGGCTTCATAATATCGTGCCTCTCGTAAACTATCACCAAATCTCCTTCGTGTATACAGCGATTGAAAGATAGTTTTCTGGCGCCATCAATCGGTAGCATTGCTAACGGATTAATTGAAATTCAATCGGGTAATCTGCAGAGACAAAGTATAGTCGATGATTGAACTGAAAATAAGCGCAAAACAGCATATAAACATTGAAACACGGCAAAAATGAACTATGGATAATCAGCAAGTCGACAATCAAAGGAAAATTCAAATCAAATACTTACTTCCAGAGTGGAGAATGGTGAAGCAGGTAGGGTTTATAACTTTATACTGAATCTATTTACCAAGGTACGAAGGGCATAATGCAGATAAAAACTATGGAATATTTACTAGTTTGTTACGGCCCGGCTCAATCTATCCCTATATATCAATCCTTCAACTATATATCTCGAAAATAAAAGGGGGGTTGCAGCCATATACCTCCTTCGAGATTAAAACAAGAACGGATGAAGGAGGGTTCGGAAAAGAAAAGCCTCGGCTTCCCGCTGCTGCTATCACTCACGGCTGAGGGGGCTGCTCGGCTGCCGTCTGCGCGAGTGGTACTGCTGCCGTTTGGAAAAATGTTTGGCCCTCCTCGTCAATCCGCGAACAGGAATTGCTCGCCGGTGGTGAAGGACCGGACTTGCTGTTCGATCGCGGTCTGCTTCTCGGGGTCTCCTTCCCGGCAGTTTGCTGTGCGTGGCCCGTCAGCGGCGGAGAATGGGCGCAACGGGCTACGGTTTACGGCGAAGGCGAACTAAGGATCAAAGGTGGCTGTGATGATGGCGTTTGAAAAATGGGAGTGAGAGCTCTGATCGATGAATAGCGGCGTGAATGAGAATGGGAGGAGCTTGAGGGTTTTTGGTGAGGAAAAAAAATCAATTAACTTATTATCCAACTCCAAAAATAGGCTTAATTAGGCGAAAATGGGCCGACATGGGGCTATTAATCGGGTCTCCAATAACGCAAATACTTAGGTGTGCCTAAGTACACCTAGTTAGGTGTACCACAAATGAACATGTTATATTACAAAATGAACATGTGCAAATCATGTTTGTACATGTTCATTTTGTAACATAACATGTTCATTTTAAACTGCCCTGGCACACCTAGCTAGGTGTACCTAGGCACACGGTAGTAGCACTGCTCCAATAATACTAAGGAGTCGAGCAAAATAAATTCGTCTGACGCTGAAAACGACTAAAAATAATTGGCTCTAACTAAATTGGGAAAATTCTAATACTCGACTAAACTCTGAATAATTTAAAAAGATGAAAATATCTATATAAATTAATTATCTTAAATGATTAATTAGATACTCACATCTAATTAATCAAATTAGGTAGTCGAGCTAAAAAAATAAAATGCATAATATTATATATAATCGAGATGTTTGCTGAAATAAAATCGGGGCGCTACAATATGTGTCTGGATTTATGTGTGTGGCTAATTTATAACAGGTTATTAGCAAGACTCAATTTATAGCAATATATTATTATTGGCAAGAGTGGTTAATTGAGTTATGTACACATATAATCTATATCTATATCTATATATATATAATAAGAATTAATATTTTTCAAAAATAGTAAGCAAAAAAATAGGGAATAATAATTGCATTCCATTTTTGGTATGTTTTTTTAATTTTTTAATAAAAAATAAAGTAGCATTTAATGCTAGCATAAATCATGGGATTTGTTATATAGATGCATATTTAAATTTCAAACTGCAAACAAAACATGCCTAAATATATTTTGAATTTTTTAGAGGAAAAATTTAACAAACGTGTTAAAGATTTCACACAATACATATATTTATATATATTTTCTTAACATATAGGTTAATTAGTTCCATATCTAAACAATATATATTTAAACAATATATAAACAAATATAATAATTTGTCGTACAATACAGACAAATATATAAACAATATATTTATATACAAATATAATAAACAAATATAATAAACAATACAAACAAATATACAAACAATATATAAACAAATATAATAACTTGTCACGTGTATATTTCGTACAATACATATATTTATATATATATTCTTAACATATAAGTTAATTAGTTTCATATCTAACCAATATATATTTTAGGAACTTAAAGATTCATAACATTACTAACGTCATGTATATTTATAATATATTGTCACGTATATTTTACTACAATTGGTAACTTTTTTAAAATTATTTGAATAACTGGAGGTTGATTTGTAATTTGAATTTCAAATTCATCCAAACATTTATAGGAAAATATCATAAGCAGATTTTTTTGATACATTTCATTTTACTTCAACTTACATATAATCACATTCCTACCAAACATTAAATTTGCTTATATCTTTTTAAATTAATTACATCAATAAATAATATTAATATACATTACATATTTATCATTATATAACAAATATATTACTTCTACAAGTGTTATAAATAATAATGACATTATATGATAATAGATTTTTTGATAGATTAATAATTGAGTATTATGATGAACCAAAATAAGTAAAATTATTATTATTTTATATTAAAAAATAAATGTATATGTTAAAATATTATTTATAATAGTATAAACGGGTCAGCATGCTAATATATTGTGAAAATAATGTTTTAAAAAAAAGTTCTAAAGTACAAAAACCCCGTGCATCGCACGGGATTCTCACTAGTGTTACATCTATACTTATATAATAAGAATTAACATTTATCCAAAATAGTAGGTCAAATTATGGTCAATGTCGGATTTGCATTAAATATTTTCCAAAACTGGTAAGTTTTTGTCCTTTTCACACTTCTCATTAATTATGTCATTTTCACACTTCTCATTAATTATGTCATTTTCACACATCTAATTAATTTATTAATTACGACATAATTATCATAAATCATTCCATCTGAGCTTTTTTCGTTAAAATGTATAGCGATCTGTTATGACCTTATCCCATTGATATTTCCATGAAGCGTCCTTATCGCGTTCTATTTTTTGGTAACCACTCTATATCAATAACCGGATATTTGGTTAATGATAGCACACGTCTTTATTTCAAGGAGCGGATATTCTTTAACCTTTAATTAATCTGAACTGATTGCCTTGACTCTTCACAGTTTAAAAACTCCTTTTTTTAAATATTTCGGCTTAAGATTCGGATTTCATTATACAAGTCATCGGATTGTTTAAATGAAAATGAATGAAAAGAACACCAAAAACAGGTAGTCTTATTCATATAACCAATCCTAAAATATTAGTTTGCTCACCAAAAAGAGACAAATTCTAGAAATCCTAAAATATTAGTTTGTTCACCAATCCTAAAATATTAGTTTGTTCACCAAAAATATTAGTTTGATTTTTAGGATTTGTCTCTTTTGAAAATATTAGTTTGTGATAATGAGGAGTTACCAAATAATCAAACTCATAATGTTGTGTACAAGGAGGTTTTTAATAATATATGATTGTTACCGAACTTTTTATGATTCAACAATGTTCCTATGTATTTTAATGATTTCAATTTCGATCCTAATGCACGTGAAGTTATATTATTCTTCCAAATTTTACATCCCGTGCATCGCACGGGTTACGTACTAGTTATAAAGAAAGGTATATTTGTCTATATAATTTTATTTTTCCTCTCCTTACTTTTTGAACAAAACATTTATCATTTTCTTTCTCATCCCTCATATAAAATTTTTCCAAACAAGGTACAATTATTCTACATCACTTCCTCTCCCCTCACTCTCTTCCGTTAAAATCCCTCCACTCTATTTCCCTGGTTTGAACCAAACATAGCTTTATGGGAAGGCTCAGATTAATGACCCTCCGCATTGCATTGCGCCATTTTCATGGCGCATTCATTTGAAGAAGCCGCTCTGTGGAATCCAACAACAGACGAGCTCAAATTGCTTCCTCAATCCTCAGTCCCGCGCCCTCCTCGGACGAGAAAGTCTGTCTTTTGTCACGGATTTGGATTCGATCATCACAACGACTACAAGGTGATTAGATTTATCGAGTATAAGTGTCTTGACGATTATACTGAAAATATTCTAGTTGAGCTGTATTTGCTTAAAACTGATTCCTGGAAGGAAGTCGTGTATCCCTATTTCCCTATGACTCCGGAAACTGCTTCAATGATAACCTATTTCTTGCCGATTTTTATGGGCACCTCGCCATTTTTGTCTACAGTCGTCATAAATTAAGTCTTCATTCTTACAACTTTCAAATTTGGGTATGGAATCATGAATCCTGGTCGAAAGTGCTGTCTCAAGTCAGTTGGGTCAATATTGGGATTGAAATTTTTAAACCGTTGGGCCTCTTCAACAATGTTGAACTATATCTTCAATGCTTGGATGCTCAAGTGGTGCGTCTGGATTGTGCAACAAAGGAGCTCCACATCTTTGTTTCGATTTGCTCATACATGGAAAGATACCCTTTTTCTTTATGTCCAGAGTAAGCAGCCAATCCAAGCCTGCCAAGTGTAATGGTTGCGAGGCCATATATATGTATAGATATATATTTTTTGTTTTCCCCGGATTCATGTTATCTTGTCATTTGCCTCAATTCCTTATAATGTTTGTTAGTGCTATATTATATTATGCTCCTTAGTATGTTCTATGGAACTCAAATTTCGACCAGAAAATAGGTTTTTTGGGATTTGTTTTGTTTAAAGGGGATTTTGCTGTAGTATTCCAAAGTAGGAGAAAATGCGGCATTACCAGATTTCTATTAAGTCATAATCTCATTTGGGTTTGGCTGGGGAAACATTATTTTTTTCAAGAGATTATCAGTTGGGCTGTGTTGTCAACATGCACTCTTATATTTACTAGATTTAGCTGAAAAGCTAACTGATAACTTAATTGATAAATTAATTTTGAGTTAATGACTTAAAAGTAAGATTATATATAAAAAGAGTTTGTTTAAGAAGATCATTATACTAAACAAGACTTATTTGAATAAAATAAACTTATAAACTAACCACATAAGCTAAATATGGGGTGGAGGCAGCTAGTGGTAAACCTGATTATTTTCGTAATGTAAATAAGGATGCAACTGGTTTCTTATCATTGAGAGAGGCTTCACTTCATTGAAAAGCTGTTTTATGGGTCATGGCATAGCTATGTAGTATGTAGGCCATAACTGACAACAAACTCTCACCAGACAAAGAAAAAAAAAATAAAAGATAAGCCCAAAAATAGCACCTTAAATGTAGCATACACAAAAACACCCATAAAATGAATCAAAACTGAAACTTGGTAGCTCTACAACATTCTTGCAGAACATCAGAGAAGCCCACCCCAAAAATAGAGAAAAACAAATGAATGAAAGAATGAGTGTCACTCCTAAACTGGCCTTTAAATGCTGTTATTGCATACAATGAACATGGAAAAGGTCACGTTCAATACAGGAGATTATTCATCGTCATCAAGTGCATTGTACATCATCCTACATCAAAAGACCAAACAATCAATCAGTGACCTATTCTTTAGCAGAAGTGAAGAAGTATATTCATTAAGATGGACAAAGATGCTTCACTTCCATCACTCACCAAAACAAGTTCATTAAAAGAAGAAATATGATGTAACCAAGCTTGAAAATGCGTTGATTCTTTTCCCAACTGAGCATGTTGAAGATATCGGTTACGTCCATAAGGTGCTTTCTCTGCAGATACCTTCTCCAAAAAAGTTCAAAAAAAAATGAAAAAAAAAAAAGCAGTGCCTTTTCTTTTATACATACTTACATCATTGCATAGCATTCAAGATGGAAGCATTATCAAGACAAATTTGGTCGAACAAACACGGCTATAAGTTAATAAATCTAAAGTACAAGTCATTGGTGCCGTTGATAGTTATACCTGTGACGAACAAAGATCAAAATTCGTGTGGATGTGATAACTACATTGTCTAGTAATGACTCAATCTGTTGATATGTATCAATTCATGTTAATATACCATCTCAACATAATGGAAAAATCAAAAAGAACAAGAGTAAATGAAAATTCATGAGTAGTAACTATAAGGATCGGGCAAAAACAGCTTGTAAGAATGAGTTTTACAAGCAAGACTTGTGATTAAAGACATTCTTTATTTTGGTCATGCATTCATTGAGAAATTGGAAACTTTGGCTAGGACAGTATTCAGTGAAAAGGGTTCAAAACTTTGCATATTAACTGTGAAGTGCCAATGATATTTTTGTGCTTTATAAAAATTTGTAGCTACTTTTTCTTCACCATTTTGTTTAGATTTTATGCTGGTGCATACAATTCAATACTCTATGGAAGATCTAAAATCAATTTCATTTAGCAGGAATTTTTTATTTGTTCTCTCTCTCTCTCTCTCTCTCTCTTTTCTAACCTTATCCAAAAAAAGAATCTGATTTTGGGTTGAGTGAAAACCTGAAGGGAAAGACGAGCAAGTTTGGTGATATTGACCTATCAAGCATGGGATTTTGAAATCTTCTACAAAATTTGATTAACATGCCAAATATATATTTACAAGTTCACAATAAAGAGAATTCCAACCAGTTTAGCCTCTACATCTCAATAATTGCAAGCAAGTGTTTTAGCTCATCATATGAAGCAAATTAAAAGGCATGGCATCAACAGTTTGCTTCCTGCTAAAATTTCCATTCTGTCTACCAAATATCAACAGTTATACAAGATATCTCTACTCTTATGGAAGTATCAATGGATTATAGGTACAACAGGAAGATGCAGTCTCTTTATGATTCATAATGTTGAATCAAAATTGTAAATGTCGACTGACTAAAAAACATCTTCCTCAAGAAACCTAGTGTTATACGTAACAGCACTCTGGAAAAGCATCGCTCAAAATTTGTCAAGCTTGCAAACAAACGAGCAAAGATGAGCTATGAATGGACTAAGTAGAAGCACATGTGCCAATGATCATGTAAAAACAAAGTCGATTCAGATTTCAAAAGTAAAAGCCGAGTGATCTTACAATCGGACATTGTAGTACAGGTAAGGTATACCGAAAAGTGCCATTGTCCAATGCCCTGTAACAAGGAAAAGGATGCATAGAGCTGCTTGCAACATGTACTCGGGTAACACCACAATGTTTATCCGATATGTAGTGTCGTAGGAATTTATATAATCAAACTCAAGATCCGCCAAGCACATGAGCTGTGTAAAACTTAATTGTCAATTTTTTTATTTTTTATTTTCCCAAAAAAACATACTTCATGATGAGGAAAGCATTTACCAAATACTTGCTCTAGGAATTATAACGAAGTTTACAGTAAAAAGGCAAACTGGCACATGAGAAGCAACATTTTCTCTATCACAAAAACATGCAACAACATTCAGGTCCTTTCACAATTCACATTACAACATAACATTATGACTGCATAAATAGGTCCTTTCACAATTCACAAATACCAATGGCCATACTCAGCACTTCCCTCAACCGAAACCTCACACAACCCAATTTCATTAACTATGCAGAAGAAAAGTTTGTTCACTTAACCGCAAGACTTACGCCAAAAACATCTCTAATCTCTATCTTGAACATAATTATTATGAATGTAGAGTATCAAGGAACTAATCATGCCATATTCTTCCTCATTCATTTGAGTCAAGAAACCAGGCTTACTATTGGGTAGTACACCAACGTCCAATGACAGGTTCATGCACATCAACAAGGATTAACCAAATTAATTCCTAATAATTCACATCTCAATCCTCAACATCCAGAATCTTAATATCAAAGAGCAGAAAACTATCTCAAATTGATAAAATTCACAATGCCTCATCTTCAAATTCGTGATCAATGATTTGTACACTAATCGGAACTAACTACTTCATGCCAACTTCTCGAAGCATCAGTCACAGCAATGTATACCCATCTTAATGACCAGAATTACGGTCCAACAGTTCACATAAATGTAATAATTGAGTGTAAAGTCAATGCTAACTAATATCATTATTAAAACAAATTGACAACAAATTGGCATCTTCCAGCTCAATTCATGTGAAAGAGAATCTTTGCCATCTGCACAAGACAATTTGTATTTGGTGTCATAATTGAGTTTAAGAGTAGGCTTTATCTACTAGGCTTGATCTGTTCTCTTTCCCTATAAAAAGGCCATTCGGCCAGAAGAAAAAAGACACACCGAAAAAGAGAAATAGAGAGTAAAAGAAATAGAAAGAGTAAGACAAGTAAAGATAGATTTATGTCCAAATATCGGATATAAAAATATCAAAAGAGAAGAAACAAATAATATTTTTATTTGTTTTATGATATATCTTTTTATTTTTAGTGCTCAATTCTCTACTCCGTTCAAGTTCGACGGAGCTCGTAAATCTGGTGTGCTACAGATTTAGAGACGTTTGCCGTTGTATCTTTGGGGAAGTTACGTCTGAACCGTTAGCTGACACACGGGGCGTATTCTTCTTGCGGAAAGAGTTTTACTCGCCTCGGCTAAAATCTTTCCGTTTTAAGTTTTAATTTATTTTTCGGTTGTAATTTATTTTTCAGTTCGATTGTAATTTTTTTTTTTTTTTTTTGATTATTTGTAAGAACTGGAAAATACATATCAGTTCGTAGGATTTCCGTGTATTTTTTATACTTAGTTGATAACAATCGCAAGAAGAATATCTCAACCTACTGGACTGATGGCTTCCACTGGAAATGGTTCCAACACTCAGCATCCGATCAATCATGTACCTGCTGTCCATGTCCCTACTGCTGATAAGCCCGAAAAATTCAATGGGCTTGATTTTAAAAGGTGGCAACAAAAGATGCATTTTTACCAGACCACTTTGGGTTTGGTGAAATACCTGAAGGACGACCCCCCGGTTATTGCTGAAAATGAGACCAATGCTGAACTACGCACTGCGTACGAAGCTTGGGGGCAAGGTGATTACCTTTGCCGTAACTATGTCCTGAACGGACTTAGTAATGAGTTGTACAATGTGTACAGCTCGGTTGGTTCTGCCAAAGAGCTTTGGGCTGCTTTGGAGAAGAAGTACAAGACTGAGGATGCCGGGGCGAAGAAATTCGTCGTCGGCAAGTTTCTTGACTTCAAGATGGTCGACTCTAAGACCGTCATGTCCCAAGTGCAAGAATTTCAACTTATCTTGCACGATATCCATGCTGAAGGAATGTCTCTGAGCGAGTCATTCCAAGTTGCGGCCGTGATTGAAAAGTTGCCGCCGGGTTGGAAAGACTTCAAGAACTACCTCAAACATAAGAGGAAGGAGATGAGTCTTGAAGACTTGATTGTTCGTCTTCGTATTGAGGAGGACAATCGTAATTCATCGGGAAAAATTCCGATGATGGAGGCTCGTGCTAACTTGATAGAGCAAGGCAACTCGAGCAAAAGGAAGTCCCTAGACAAAGGGAAGCAGCCTGCCAAGGTTTGGAAGTTTACCGGAACTTGTTATAATTGTGGAAAGCCGAACCATATGGCTAAAGACTGCAAGAGGCCAAAGAAGGCTGGGCCAAAGAAAGGTAAACCGAGTGCTCTTGTGGCTGAACACGGCCCTGTGCCGGGTGAACTGACCGACTTTGATATGTCGGCTGTGGTGTTTGAAGCCAATATGGTGGATAACCCAAGGGAGTGGTACATCGATACTGGTGCCACTCGTCATGTGTGTTCCGATAAGGAGGTGTTCTCTGAATACACTCCTGCTAAGAGTCGGAAACTTTACATGGCAAACTCCGCCACGGCTGATGTGGCTGGAGTGGGCACTGTGGTGCTGAAGCTGACTTCTGGAAAGGAGTTGAAGCTTAAGGATGTTCTGCATGTCCCAGACATCCGCAAGAATTTGGTCTCCGGATCTCTTCTTGTTGAGCATGGATTTAGGCTAGTATTTGATGCTAAGAAATTTGTTCTTAGTAAGTTTGGAACTTTCCTTGGTCGTGGCTATCTCGACAAGGGTATGTTTAAAATGAATGTAATGGCCGTGAGCCGTGTAACCGTTTTAAATGATAATGAAAAGCCTATTTCTGTTTATACCGTTGAGTGCTCTGATTTATGGCATATTAGATTGGGACATGTAAATCGAAATGCAATTAAACGGTTGATGAATTTAGAATTAATTCCTAATTCTAAAATTGAATCACATAAGAAATGTGAGATTTGTATTGAAGCAAAAATGGCTAAGTTGCCTTTTCACTCGGTGGAAAGGTGTACTGAACCATTAGGCTTAATCCATACTGATGTATGTGATATGAAAAGTGTGCAAACAAGAACAGGTAAAAAGTATTTTATTACTTTTATCGATGATTGCACAAGGTTTTGCTACTTATATTTATTAAGAAGCAAAGACGAGGCTGTGGAAGCATTTAAAATCTATAAGACCGAAGTTGAAAATCAACTCGGCAAAAGGATTAAAATAATCCGAAGTGATAGGGGTGGGGAGTATGTAGCTCCTTTTGAACAAATATGTTCTGAATATGGCATAATTCATCAAACGACGGCCCCTTATTCTCCACAGTCGAACGGTGTTGCTGAACGCAAAAATCGTACGTTAAAAGAAATGATGAATGCCATGTTGATAAATTCAGGATTACCCCAAAACATGTGGGGGGAAGCTGTTTTAACAGCAAATCATATCCTGAATAAAATACCACCTAAAGGGAAAGATGAGACTCCTTACGAAATGTGGAAAAATCGTAAGCCGTCTTATAAATACCTAAAAGTGTGGGGGTGTTTGGCTAAGGTTTCAGTACCGGAACCCAAACAAATGAGAATCGGGCCAAAGACGGTCGATTGTGTATTTATTGGATATGCGTACAATAGTACAGCATATAGATTTCTGGTTCATAAATCAGAAAATCCAGAGGTATCTGTTGGTACCACGATTGAGTCGAGGAATGCTATATTCTTTGAGAATATTTTTCCTCTAAAAGAAAGAGCAGAATCTAGTTCTAATAAACGAACGTATGAAACTGCTAGTGGTTCTGTACCAGAGGGTACTGATGAAGAACCGAGACGTAGTAAAAGGTCAAAAACGGCGAAAACGTTTGGACCTGATTTTATTACGTATATGTTGGACGATGTACCGAGTTCCCTTAAGGAAGCTCTGTCCAGCCCAGATGGACCACTCTGGGAAGAAGCTGTAAATAGCGAAATCGAGTCCATTATGCAGAACCATACTTGGGAGTTGGTTGATCTCCCTGATGGTTGTAAACCTTTAGGATGCAAGTGGATCCTAAAGAAGAAATATAAAGCTGATGGATCGATTGATAAGTTTAAAGCACGATTGGTGGTCAAAGGCTTTAAACAAAAGGAAGGGTATGATTTCTTTGATACCTATTCACCAGTTACGCGTTTAGCGTCGATAAGAGTGCTTCTCTCGATTGCTGCTTTGCACAATCTTGAGATTCACCAAATGGATGTCAAGACGGCATTTTTAAATGGTGAATTGGAAGAAGAAATATACATGGAACAACCTGAAGGGTTTGTTGCACCTGGACAAGAGAGAAAGGTGTGTAGATTGATCAAATCCTTGTACGGACTGAAACAAGCTCCGAAACAATGGCATTTGAAATTTGATGACGTGATGTTGTCAAATGGTTTCAAAATCAACGAATGTGACAAATGTGTTTATGTCAAGAGTACATCAAATACATTTGTGATTGTATGTCTATATGTAGACGATATGTTGATCATGGGGAGTAGCCATGAAGTGATCATGGATACGAAAAGAATGTTGAAAAGAAATTTCGACATGAAAGATATGGGTTTGGCTGATGTTATTCTTGGAATAAGGATTATCAGAACCCAAGATGAAATTGTCTTGTCACAATCTCATTATGTAGAGAAAGTGCTTAAGAAATTTGATACCTATGACGGTGCACAGTCTAGGTGTAAGACACCCATTGATCTTAGTATAAATTTGGTAACCAATAAAGGTCAACCAGTGGCTCAGTTAGAATATTCATGGGTAATAGGGAGTCTGATGTACTTGACGAATTGTACACGACCAGACTTAGCCTACCCGGTGAATAAGTTGAGCAGATTTACGAGCAATCCTAGTCATGAACACTGGAATGCTTTGAGGAGGGTACTTAAGTACTTGAGGTACACCCTTGAATACGGGCTAAAATACTCGAGATATCCAGCCGTACTTGAAGGGTACTGTGATGCAAGCTGGATATCAGATTCGAGAGATTC